TCATAAAAAAAATTTATATAATAAAAATGTGCAAATCAATAAAATTTATGTATAGTTAAGAAAATATTTTTTTTAATACTATTTAGTAGTAAAATCATGACTATGTAATTTAATTTTGCGTTTTTTAGTTTCTTTTTCAGTGCGTTAATGCACCTAATGTTGTCCTTAAAGAAGCAGCCCTTCAAATGTTTGCCTCTGTGCCTGGAGTTTTTGGAAACCAACAACCAAATTATTTAGATTTGATAAAACAGATGTTAATGCAAAGTATACAGCAGACAGAATCATACGAAGTACGCTTTCAAGGGGTGAAAGCTATAGGTTCATTCATCCTGATCCATGAGAAAGAAATGCAAATTCTCAAACATTTTGCTGATCTTTTACCATTCATGCTATCAGTAATAAACGAAAGCTTTCAAGATCAGTCAGATGATACTTTACTCAAACAGCTAATTGATTTGGCCGAAAATACTCCAAAATATTTAAGGCCCCAAGTAGTTCCAATTTACGAACTGTGTATGAAGATAACTAGCAATTCAGAATCGCTAGATAACTGGAGACAATTAGCTTTGGAAGTAATGGTGACACTAGCGGAAACAGCTCCTGCAATGGTGAGAAAACAAGCGTCAAAATACATAACGCAGTTGGTACCGCTCGTCATGCAAATGATGGCGGATTTGGACGAGGAAGAGAATTGGGCTCAGGCAGATGAACTACTGGACGAAGATAACGACTGTAATAATGTTGTTGCTGAAGCCGCTTTGGACAGATTAGCTTGTGGCCTAGGAGGGAAAACAATTCTACCCCTTGTTCTCCAAGGTAATGACGTTAATATTAATTTTAAAAAATTTCATGACTTAGAAAGAAGTTATCTTTTAATAACCAACGTGTAAATTAAATTTAATGCATGATTAGTTTGGAAATGTGAAATACAGAAAAAAGTAAGAATTAACAATTAACAGTTTTAGTAACAGTACAGCTAAAAAGCTAAGAATGTTTAGCATTCTTTTTTTCTAATTCAATATTAAACACCCCCTGAATAAATTATTTATTAATTCAATCAATTATAATTTTAATTATTTATTAACGATTAACAAGAATTATGTACCACATTAGTAGAGAACAAAACTTTCATTTTTCTCGATTATTTTATTATTAAAACCACTTAAAAATGACTGCAAGGAAGTGCCAAAAGCACTTGCAGGCAGTACTGGTCAATTTAAATCTAAGTACCTGATACATATTTTAAAGAAATATTAGAAAATATGAAGAAGTTAGGGAACTACCAAATAAAAAACAAATGTAATTTTGACAAACATAATATAAAATTTCAATCTAATGTTACTTAACAACGAAAACAAATCAGTAAAAGTGGTTGAACTCTAACTTAAAAACTAAATATTTACCATATGCATGTATAAAAAAGACAAGTAAAAAGAAAACGTAAGAAATAAAAATGGTTACAGCATAAGTATAGCCCCGTTATAAAAAATTTCCTGTTATTAGTTGACTATTAAAAATAAACGTAATAATTAAGCCAATAAAACAATACCAAAAAACGTAATTAAGTTTAGATAAATAATTTCTTCATCTTTAAAGGACTTCCACAAATGTTAAGTAGCGAAAACTGGAAACAACGTCACGCAGCTTTAATGGCAATAAGTGCCGTCGGTGAAGGATGTCACAAGCAGATGGAAGTGATGCTACCCCAAATAATGAACGGAGTGGCAGGATTCATGCAAGGGGTCCTATCCTATTTACAAGATCCACACCCCAGAGTGCGTTACGCTGCGTGTAACGCAATTGGACAGATGTCAACCGATTTTGCTCCCGTTTTTGAAAAAAAGTTTCACGATAGCGTCGTTCCCGGCCTCTTGATGCTCTTAGACGACAATGCTAATCCGAGAGTGCAAACACATGCCGGTGCTGCGCTTGTCAACTTTTCCGAAGATTGTCCAAAACATATTTTAACGCAATATTTGGATCCGTTAATGGCCAAATTGGAAACGATTTTAACTGCAAAATTTAAAGAATTGGTTGAAAAGGGAACAAAACTAGTACTTGAACAGGTGGTCACCACTATTGCAAGTGTTGCCGACACTGCAGAAAAAGAATTTATCGCTTATTACGATCGTCTCATGCCCTGTCTGAAGTACATTATTAAAAATGCTAATAAAGAAGAACTGAAATTACTAAGAGGTAATCAAGTTAATTATTTATTCAAAGGATTGAAATGTTGAAATCAACTAAAAATCTTTTTAAACTAAATATACAGTTGCAGTCTAGGTAACATTTTTTTATTAATCCGTTCCAGGAAAAACAATTGAATGTGTATCCTTAATCGGTCTAGCAGTTGGACCGGAAAAATTCTTGAACGACGCTGGCGATGTTATGGACATGCTTTTGGCGACACATGGTGAATCAGGAGAGTTGCCTGAAGACGATCCTCAAACGAGCTACTTGATACCTGCCTGGTCGCGAATTTGCAAGGTTATTTATCATTTCAATTTTGTTACTCTTCTAGTAATGTTGAGTTTTTAAAAACAATTTTACAGGTGATGGGAAAACGATTTGAACAATACCTGCCAGTTGTGATGGGTCCAGTTCTGAGAACTGCATCAATGAGACCTGAAGTTGCCGTTTTAGATAATGACGATTTGCAAACTGTAGAAGGTGATTTGGACTGGCAGTTTGTATCTTTGGGAGAGCAGCAAAACTTCGGCATTCGAACAGCAGGTGTGTATTATTTTACTATGTATTATATGACGGAAAATATATACTATTTAATCAATGTTTAAAAACAAAATAATGCATTTGTTCTATTCTATTTAATTTATTAATAATGAACTTTTGTAACAATTGTCAATTTAATAATAACTTTAGTCAAGAAATAGATGGTGAATTGTCATCAATGATCAAATGATATCAGTTTATTTGGATAAATGATAAAAACCATTTAATTTTGCAATATACAATTCTGAGACGTTTCTGTTGAAAAAGTGTAGATTAAAACGTCTCAAAATTATACATTACAAAATTGAATAGCCATTATTGTTTATCTAAATAAACTAATTATCATTATGTTGAATAAAACTAGAAACCAGAAAGAATCTCTATGGAATAGACTTCTGAAATAGTTAATCTTCTAGAATTTAAAAGTAATTTTACTGTTGCATTTATTTTCAATTTCGAATTAAAGCTGCTGAAGTCATAATTCGAACATATCAATTTATAGTAAATTATTCTTCATGAATTGACGATTTTCTATATTTTTTTATCAATGGCACTAAATACATAAATAATAACATTATTTATTGTAAATATGTGTTATTTCATATAAATTAAAATACGTAACTTTTATGTAATTCAATTTAGTGGAAAAGATTGCAAGTTACTTCTTATTTTTTTCATTGAAGGCTTGGAAGATAAAGCTGCAGCCTGTTCAATGTTAGTGTGTTATGCACGCGAGCTTAAAGAGGGCTTCTCAAATTATGCCGAAGAAGTGGTTAAACTAATGGTACCGATGTTAAAATTTTATTTTCACGATGGTGTACGTGCCGCAGCATCCGAATCTCTGCCTTACCTGTTGGAGTGCGCTAAAATCAAGGGGCCCGCTTTCTTACAAGGTATGTGGCAGTACATTTGTCCAGAATTGCTAAAAGCCATCGATACTGAACCCGAGAGTGAAGTCATGCTACAGCTGTTGTCCTCGTTATCTGGCTGCATAGAAACTCTCGGCGCTGGTTGTTTGGATCAGGTGGCAATGACTGAATTACTTAAGATTATCGACAAACTTATGCAAGAACACTACGAACGTGCTTCAGATAGAAGAACAAAACATCTAGACGAAGATTATGATGAGGTAAGTTTTTTACATGTTTTATGTAAAAAGATGTGTTTTTAGGAGTAATTTTAAAAAAAGACAAAAAAACGTAATTCAGTTACTATAATTCTCTAACTGCATTCCCTGTTATAAATATTAAATTACAGTGTAACACACAGCTAAATGACTTTCGTAGATTTTATTAAACTAAACATTGACTTCCTCAGATATGCTTATGTGAAAATGTTGTTTGCTATTTTGTGCTTTAAGATCAGTTGTATTTTATCTTTACCTCTTAGAAGTATTGTATATATTCTTGTATTACAGATTGTAGAAGAGAAACTGGAAAACGAAGAATCTGAAGATGTTTTTATTTTGAGTAAAATAGCCGATGTAGTTCACTCGTTATTTTTGACGTATCGGGAACAGTTCATACCATTTTTCGATCAAATTGTTGCTCACTTCACTAATTTATTGGACCCTGCAAGGCCTTGGGCTGATCATCAATGGGGCATTTGTGTATTTGATGATATTATAGAATTCACAGGACCAGCTTGTGAAAAATATCAACATATTTTCCTACAATCATTGGCAGTGTACACAAAAGACAAATCTCCAGAGGTAAAATAATGCTTTTAGGTAGTCATAATAAAATTCATAATGTCCTAAAGGAAAAGTAAAATGGTACATTAATTTGTTATACAAAGTATAAGCGTATAATGTAATTCAAACAAAATGAATTTGTCATTATACTACAGGTGCGACAAGCAGCAGCTTATGGTTGGGGTGTTCTAGCTCAGTTTGGTGGCAACAGATTCGCACAAGAGCTTGCCAAAGCCGTGCCCCATCTTATAGAAGTCGTGAACAGTTCTGATTCAAGAGAACCACGTAACATAAACCCAACTGAAAACGCTATTTCTGCTGTAACTAAAATAATGAAATATAACAACTCGGCAATTAACGTTGACGAAATCCTTTCAATCTGGATAAATTGGCTGCCTGTTGTTGAAGACGCTGATGAAGCACCCCATGTGTACGGATATCTGTGTGACCTCGTTGAGCAAAATAACCAAATCGTTTTAGGTGAGTTTTTATTACATGTGACTTCTTTGTTTTTTCATCCTAGTCCCATCTTACTACTTTTCTAAAAAATTTCCTTTTTCTCATTTTGTCAGTTATTTTTTATCTTTCTTTTAATTAATCGTAAATTCCTCATTTCTAAATTGTGACAGTGTAATTATAGGTCTTTTGAAAAATTAAATAATACTGTCTTATTCTTTAACGTTAGAATTATACAGAAAATAAATAGCTTTTAACAAAAGAACAGAAAATGGAAAGTAGAAGAACAGACGCAAGAATAAAATAACAAATTCAAAAAAATTACAAAGTAGAAGTATAAATTCTCAATTAAACAAATAATTTTCATAAATTAAGTAAAATTACCAAGAAACCCCTGAGAATTGATATGACTAATAACAATTCTTGATATCTCCTATTTTATACAAAATATATTTCTGTAATAGGAAGGATCTACTTTTGAGAATGTTACAGATTTTTTTTTATTTTTAATTCAGAACTAAAATTAATAAAATTAAAATGTGTTTGTGTATAACAGTGTTGTGGTTTATATTATAATAAATATATTCTTGTATTGTTATCATCATTATTTTCAGGACCAGGTAATGCAAACATACCACGTATACTACAGATTTTTGCAGAAGCTTTCTTCAGTGAAGTAATAGAACCTTCAAGTCCGCAAGGTTTCCGAATGTTAAATATCATCCGACAGGTACAATCCAACGAAGTTATGTTTCAGAACATAATTTCGAATTTTCGACCTGAACTACAACAAGTTCTTCATATAGCCCTTCATTCTTCCACCCGTCCTTCATAGTGATTATGCTACTGTTGAAATTCTTGCACTATTACCTGTATTTATAGAAAATTAATACTATTCTTTTAAGAGATGTCAATGGCGGAAAAGAAAATTAATTAATTTTAACTACTTAAATAATTCCAACTGCAGAAAAAATGAAAACTGAAAAGTAATTGTTAAATGAAGTATTTAATTTTCTTTAATTGACGCTTCCACCAGTCGTTAAAAGTTATATGCATGTTATAACTTTGTCAAATATGTCGTTTATGTGATAACTTTTGGAATAGCTGTTCTGTATAATAAATATTTTTATCTACAGGTCAAGTTTTACATTTGTATGAAATAAATATAACAAACTATTTAAATCGATGATGAATGCTTAGTTTCTCCAACATACAATATACATACACATATTTATACTTTCTAATGCAAAACCATTTAGAAATTGAAATTGTGTAATTTAAATTATTTAATAATTGCAAAAAATAATTACATTGTATCAATTATACAACAAAATTAATTTTATATTTGTGATACACTTAAACTGCTCTTACGACTTAATCATTTGAAAATAACTTAAATTAAATGTAAACATAAAATATTAATAAAGTGGACATTTCCACAAAATGGTATAAACAGTAGTACAAAGTAATTTTAGTAAAAAAAAGAGCGCTTTCATTTAAAAAGTTTTATAATGTATCTAAATATGTGACTGCACAAATTCTGTGAGACAAAGTGATAGTGTTTGTAAAATTTCAAAATAGTAAAACAGTTAAACCGTAATATCCAGAAAGAAAATGCGTTAGGCATTTGCTGTCGATTTTTCGGGCATATGCTACATTAAAAAAAGTGGTAAAACTTTGGGATTTATTTCACAGTAAGCTATTCACAAGATAACGATAATCGTTAAAAAATATATAAAAAGGATAATCAAAAATTATGAAAATATATACTACTGACTACTGTCGTGTGCAAGAATGAAGAAGCAAATTCAAGAAAATTACAAACAGGATTATATCTGTAATCTACGGTATGTCCATGGTATTTATGATGGTATGTCCATACGATGGTGCATTATGCCTTATAGTAAGTACATTTAACATTTTATTAAATGTTTAATTTCTAAATGTGCCAAATAACCTGAGGTAATTTATAGTGGGTTAAAAATTGAAAATGAATTTTCACATTAACATTTTCTTATCATATTTAATAGCTTACAGCGGTCCTCCTTTAACGTAACAGTACTGTGTTGCAGGAAGCGTGAATGTGCCTTATTATTTCCACTGGAAATAGATAAGTGGTATAAATATGCTGTTAAAATCTCAAACGGCATCATCATAATGATAAGCAGTAATACTGATTAAAGACATTTGAATATTAAAAACAAAAAATTACTTATTAATATTCACGGGTATTTACTGCTTTACCAATTATACACATAACAATCTACAAAAGTTAGGTATTACAATTTTACAATAAAGCTTCTTAAAATTTAAAAAGCTCATTTGGAAATCCATCACTAAATTATAATTCAGTAATCATTATCATATTAAAACGTTATAGATCTAGCTAGAACTTTGAATTGTAAATCGTTATCGTATTTATTTATTTATTGATTGATTAATTAGTAGTTTTACTTTAGTATGAAGAACAAAACATTAGGGAAAAAGAGAAAACTTACTTTTCTTGCTTAATTTTTAGCAAATCATATGTAACGTAGATCAATCTTTTACAGCCGTATAAAATTTTACCCCATAGCGATTGAAAAAACAATTTAACACCTTTCGGTACTTTCCAATGTGGTCTAGTATGAATGTTCTTGTTTGTTTGTATTTCAATTTTGTATATGGCAGTTTTACAACCATTTTCCGTGCTCAGAGATGAGATACAATGTACCAATAATTATTCCTTAGTGGATGCTTATGATACAAAATGAATCAGTTGCCTAAATTTAGCTATCATGTTTCTACGTTTAGTAGTTTCAGTAACTTAACTAAATTAACTTCGACTGATGGGGTCCAATATTGTTTTAACTTACAAACAACACCTAACAAACCCCCATTTCAACCCTTTCGGATTTAATTTTGAAAGTTGTACAAGTAACCTTTTATTGTAGCATTAGAACAAGCGGAAACTACCATAAATTAGAAATATATCTATTTTAAATCTTTTTTTCTATTTTAATTAGTATTCAGTTAGTTTTATTTATTATTTAGTTAGTTTTTAAGTTTTTGTCATTTGAAAAGCACGTCCTTGTTTGTCTTATATTCTACAACACATTCAAGCTAGAAAAAAACTCACTATCATCCTCTTCATATCTAATACTGTCTTATCTAAGTTTTTTTTTACTATCTCTCTCGGCCTTGTTCTCAGAGTTCTGGTCAGGCGATGGAACTTGCACGAAGCAAATTATTCATATTTTCAATTTTATAAAAGTTAAAGTGAAAGTCGCTACGCTATTGGTTCAATTACGAAAAATTTGCCGCGAACTGACGCAGAAACCCAATGTGATGCTTCTGCGTAACATTATTTACGTCATCAGTGCTTCATGTGGTAGCAATCGCAATTTCACGACAGCCTGAACGTTGGCCAGGTTCTCGTGGTCAGTTACTTCTTGCTTGCGAGAAGGTTTGTTCGTCTTTCGTTTCAATTTACCGAATTCACTTTAACGTAGAATAAACTTTTTACTGCAAATTACTAGTGAAATTAATTTTATCTAAACACTCTTTTATTTTACAGGAACATTATACAAACTCTGGATGCCATGTGGTACGAAGGATTCTTCATATCGGTCCTTTTTCACTCCTGGATGAAGGAAGCATTAAATACCTTTTCTCCGCTGGAATCAGAGGCAGATTTTGCTATTGCTAAAGGAATAATTCATGACAATAAATTGGTAACAGCATTATTTAAAAACTACAGATATCATTTTACTTTTAATAGCATTTTAATTAATTTAATTAAATTATGCAGTTTTTTCCAGGGTGGCGGTCAAACAATTACACAACTATATGTTTTTGTAACATTTCGGTTTATTTAACCATCTTCAGACTTTTGGAGTGTTACTGCAGTAATAAACCGAAAC